ATGACTAACGGTGTTAACGTCCGTTAGTCATTAATGGTATATTGTGACATTTACCAAAAACTCAGTGGTATTTGGTGTATTAGAAAATTTTGTGTGGTATATGGTGAATTACAAAAGAACTCAGTGATATTGGTGAAAAATCCGTAAATTTAAACAATCATTTTGATCTTATAGCAAAAATATCTGGATAGAATGCATGCAAAAGAGCAGAATTATTATTAAACTTTTACAATGTACTACGCAAAAGTTAAACGACAAATAATAAATTTAGTGGCTTTTCAAACATAGTTTTTATCACCGTCATCTTTATGGTATCCCAAAAACCAATATACTTATTACGTTTAATTTCTAAGATATTGACAACTTACTAAACGAACTTATTCACATATGTCATTAATTTCCTACGCTAGTTCTTGTTAGGTAACTAATTAGATAGGTTTGTTTCTCCAAAATCTATGTTACGTTAACTCTTCTGCAGCTAACCTTGTCAAGAATCTATATAGCACATAGCACAACTTCAACAAAATGAGGATTTGAGGTGACTATAATTTGATGAAGAATTTGTTGTAGGGCCTCTTGGATCAATGTCGGCAAGAAATAGCCCAATACAATTGCCAAAAACTGAGTGAACACATGATCCAAGAAAGATTTGACGGCAATTCAGTTTCTATGTTTCTTATTAGGATGAGTTAGTGTAAAGTTGTGTTTGTCTTTTTGTACAGGTTGTTTACATAGATCCTAACAAGCAAGTCTACTACAACTTAACATACGTTTTACCAAATCTATTATATAATTTAAGATTATTATTATTATTATTATTATTATTTTTTTTTTAACATTTCACCACAAAAATCTAAAACCCTAAATCTGAATTCTCATTATTATTTTTTTGAAAATAACTTCCAAATAACTCTCACAACTCCAAATAATTAACTTTTAAAAAAAAATAACTTCCTTTCCAAAAAAAAAAAAAAAAAAAAACAATCTACCTTAAATTATCCCTTGCATTTAGCAGTCAAAATTTAAACCGAAACCGTTTAACTTTCCAAAAAACTACTACATTTTTAATCAAATGCAATGGCTAAAAAGAGCTAGTGCAACAGCTCATTTTATTGTCGTTGCATTAGATAAACTTAAACTTTGTACATCAAAAGATGGAGCTAACGCAATGGCTTTAAGAAGCCGTTGCATTAGGTGTACTAATACAACAACCTGAAAGGCTATTGCCACGGCAGTTCACTCCGTATGAAAATGCGCTTAATTAATTAGTTCACTCTCCTCAGATCTCACCACCTCAGTTCTCACTCCTCTCTCTGTCTCTCCTTCTCCCTATTCTCTTCCTCCAAGACGAAGGCAACCATCACCGCAGCCGTAACCACATCCACAACCACCGTCGCTCACAAAATTAAATTCTCTCTCTTTCTTCATCCTCCTCATTCACTGATGGTCACGGTGGTGATGGTGGTCGCGAGTGATAACGACGATGCGGTTCGATTTTTAGGGTTTTGATTGGTGTTCATGGTATAAGCTTCTTCAAACTTTCCTCTTTAAATTTCAAATTTAGGGTTCCTTTGCATAATTACTAGTTAAAATTTTTGATTTTTTTCGATTTCTAGGGTTTTGATTTGCTAATTGTTGGACCTGGTGTTCTTGATCGCTTGGTAGCTCAATAATGGAGTCAGGTATAATCGCTATTTCTATTGCATTTCTACCTCTATTTCTTTCGTTTGTAAAACAGTTTAATTCCTCGAGAACTGTCAGGTTAAATTTCTTTCGGTTGGGTTTCTCGCCTTTCTGTTCTTGTTCCTTCTATTATCTTTAATTTCTGATTTTTAGTAGTTTTTGTTATAAATTTTTGATCATATTGTTAGTATTTGGTTTGCTTATTGGAAAATTGTAAGATTTTTAACTTGCAAATAAGTGTGCTTTGGTTGTTTTGTTGGTTATGGTAATGCAAATGTTATGGTATAGGTAATGACAGTAGATTACTATAGTTGGTGTTATAATGTCTAGTAACTGGTGCTTATAGACGATTCATGTTGGAATTGGTTAAGGGCATTGCGTTTCGTTTGGGTGAGATAGAGCAAAATAGTATATTGATGCTTCGGAAATGAGCATGGTTACTGCTTATTAGTATATTACAATTTGGAAAAGCTGAACTATGTGTTTGGGGAATGGGGTGCAATGGGATTGGGGTCTTGATAGAAATTCCGTATGAGACAAGTGCGTTATGTTTTGGAGTCAGGTATAATCGCAATTTCTATTGCATTTTGGCTTGATTAACAATACTTTGGTACCGAATTGTGTACCGTACCCAAACTTGTTGTGGGCTACTGAGTATTGGCATATTTGATGACAGTTTTAGTAACTATGTTTATTTAATCACATATGGTTCTTGGATAATAGATGTTCATCTTATGCAAATATTTGTCATTATATATAATACGGAGTACCAAGTATATACGCTATAGCCTTTCTATTATACATCCGCGTTTATAATATGGTTCGAATGTACTTAGTTTACGTAAACTCGGGTAGTCTGGTGTATATAGACAACGTATGTACTCAATTATTTAGTGTTTGGAGGTTGATGAATCTCTTTTGACCGTTGCAGCTGCCTTGGTCTTGGAATATCTATGGCTGCACAAAGTTGAACTGCAAATGATATATACCTTAGAAAGTAGAAACATTCAACCAAACTTGATATTCTATATATATAAAAAGAATTAATGTCGTCCTTGGTCATTACTTCTTACTTTGAGGGATATATGCTCATTTTCTTTACTTTTGCTGGGGCTGAAATGCATTATGAAACAATTAGCTAGGTACTTTTTTAAAAAAAAATGAAATATGGATAGTAATATACTTTGTATTTTTTTTTTTTTTGTGAAAAGGTAAGAAAAATTAATCCTATGTGAGAGGCATGTTGACAATGGCTATTGACACACCGAGACATGTTGCCGGAAGTTCATGTATCTAATCTTGCAATTTCTCCAATGTGAGGCAGATTGCATAAAGCCCATTAGATTGGTTCAATTATTCATTAGTGTTCCTTCTATGAAGTTTGGGTGATTTCGTTTGTGGACGGTATAGTTGTCTTTTTTTTTTTCTTTTTTTTTTCCCCTTTTGATGATTATCCATCTTTCTGACATGAGTTTTTCCTTTTGTTTACAACAGGCCTCTACCGAGTGATATATCTTCTTACAAGGTATTTATTGTGTCATTTTAGTTCTCTTGGCCTAATCATATATACCCTCAATTTTCAGTCTAGTTTCGTGAAATGAGTGGCAACCTCTGTTATTCATACTGCAATTTTCTTGTCAAACCTATGCCTGTCATAAATTGATATTTTAAATGCATACAAGTATGATACTTAAAAATTGATTGTAAAATTATATAGAAAAGCTATCTGTATCTATGTTCGATATTTCTAAATCTTATGAATTCCAACACTCGTGTAAGCTTTTGAGTAACATTGGTGGCACCTACAACTCATATGCTTACTACTAGATGAACTTATTGACTCATATTAAAAACAGACGCATGATTTTCTCAAATTGTGAAGGGATCATTAGACGATTTCATCGATGCAAATATTCAGCTAGCATTGACTGTTGCGAGGAAACTTCAAGAGAAAATGCAACTCAGATCATGCATAGTAAGAGGACATATTTCTATATATCTTTTGGCCTAAATGTTTGGAGACAGAGAACTGATTTCTTCGTTGCTGGGGATATCAGGTGTTTCCTGACAAGCCTGAAAAGCGTAGGGCCACTCAGTTTTTCAGGACTGCTATTGACTCGGTAACAATATCTATCCTCAACTTGATATCTAGCTGAAAACAAGCTTACTGGAACATTACCTGTCTCAAATGGGACTAAACCAGGTCTTGAAATGCTGCATAGTTGTAAGCACTTGTATGTCTGACGCATTTAATTTTTGATTTGAAAATTTCTTGAATTCTTTATTGAATTTCACCATTATTGTATTGCCCTCTTTTAATCTTTTAATTTTCAATTTCTTGTTGTTTGTCTATTGATTGCCACTTTGCCAGTCACTTTGGAAGATATCAACTCTCTGGCTCAATTCCACCTCAGCTACTCCATGAAAATATGACACTTGCTTATTCATTTGTAAGTACCATGAAAGAAATTTAATAAGATATAGATGTTGTCATTGACATATATTCACCGGTAACACTGCAAATTTGAATGAATACTGTTTTTTTTTTTAAATTTTGATTGTTATATGCAGTGGTTTTTGTTAATTGTATAACTAATTTATAATAAATTTGTTGTCTTGATTGTTATTTGTTAATTTTAATATTCATCAGAATTTTTTGATGAAAGTTGCAGTTTCTGGTGTTTTTCGTGATTTACTGTCGAGTTTTGAGTCTATTTGATCAGCTCGTTGTCCTATAGCTTGCGAATTCTATGGGATTATAATGATATAAGTACCTAATTCTTCCTTATTATCTGGATGTCAACCTTTTATCTCTTTCCTCCTAATCTTTTTATTTATCTAACCAAGGAGTATCTCATTATCTAAATAAGATATAAAAAAAATTACAATTATTCATTTCTTGAAGCTTGGTATGCCCATGGGGTTGCTGAAGTCATTTTGAGTAAGAGGGGAAGGGAGGGAGGTGATTCCCTCATTTGCCTAAAAATTTGTTAGTGTAAGTTTTCAATATGTTAGAGCCTTAAAATTTATTTTTGGAGTATTTTATAGCTTTGATTTGATTCGCACGGTCTAATGTCGATTTTTATTCATTTATGCATGATTTTGTGAATTAATTTGAGTGATAGGTGGTATTATAATTGACTATGATTTGAGCTAATTTGAATTGGTAGATTGGTTTTGGGAAATTGGGTTTAAAAGTTTATGGTGTAAATCTAGAATGTGATTATAAATTTTTGTTGTAGCCTCCATTGTTATTGTTGTAGTTGTTATTATTGATATCTAGCCTTTAAAATATTGATATTGTTGTGGGTGTTGTTGTCTCTGCTGCCTACTATTATGTAAATTGTAAATTATAAATTTTAATAGCCGGAGAGCCACTGAAATTCTTTAGTCAAAACTTATGACATACTTATGCATCTGTCTTTCTAATGGCCTATTTCTTGCTCTATAGATGATTTACTTTCAGGTCAAATCTAGGATGCTTAAAAATATATGGCCTTTCAATGGAATGCCTTTTATTTTACTACGAATTGTAATTTACTTTGTAAATTTTTAATTTTAAGGTGCCCCTTTGTAGGCTACGATGTTTGCTTTTGATTTCGGCTAGTTCTTTGTCACATTTCTTTCTAGACCACTTATTTGAGGTAATGCTCTTTCGCCAACATTATTGTGAATAACTGCATCTTGTAGACTTATAGTATGAGGTGATTAAAGTTAAAAAATAAAGCTAATACTTGGGTAGTAGAACATTGTTTAGTGATCCAATGCAATTTATATTAGAAATTGTTTCCTCTACCGGGTTCTTGTTTGAAGATTTTCCTGCTGTCAGCGTTGTGTATCATGAGAAAGTTGTGAATATTGAATCTGTTGGCCTTTTGGGTTACTCTGAAAAAAATGTAGTGGAAGACACATGGTTTGTAAAATCTGTTTTCCATTCTATTTAAATAATTATAGTTGATCAGGCCATTCTTGATTCTTGCTACTAATTTTCTTTATGAGTTTGTTTAGAGATATTGGAGTATTGTTAATGTTCGTATTGGATATGAGTTCACAGGGTATGATAATACGAAGATAAAGCTTGACAAAGACAATTTATCACTTTGAAGTACTTTGCTTGGTTTTGTATAATTTTGTTGCATGTATAGTAGTTATCCTACTCAATTCTGATTAAGGTTTTTTTTTTTTTTTTTTTTTTTTTTTTTTTTTTTTTGTTTATTCTCCTGTTTTATTATCTATATATAAAAAGAGCATTAGGATCTTTGATTTTGTATACATGGCTAACTTTAATTTTAATTGATTTTGGCAAGCTTAAATTGACAAATGTACATAATGAAGCTTGGAAAACAGTGACAAGATATATAAACAATAAAAAACAATCTCAGATCAATGTCAAAATGTGACTTCTTTAAGCTTTTGTGCTACTGCAATGTTGGGATGTTTATGTTGGTTGTTATGTTGCTTTTGATAACTATAGGACATCTAGTGCTCTAAATTTGTCTTTATTTTGATCCAAACACCCAATTTTGTTGGTAAAAAATGGTTAAAGGGAGAGTAGACTTAGTTGCTGTTCTTCTGAAGATATTGCATTCTTGAAAGTCTGTAAAATAGGGGAAATTGATGTGAAAGGGAGGGGGGCTGTTTTTACTCGTATGGATAGCTGGGTGCCCTGGTTTATTGTTTTTTAGATGAGTTTGGTGTGTGCCCTCCTTATTTGGCTTATGGTTGCTGTTGGTTGCCGCTTCTGGTTTGGTTTTAGTGTTGGATCTGATAGTGGCAGATCAGCGGCTGTGGTTCAGGGTTCTACTTGCTTGCAGCCTATTTTGTGCCTGTTGTGTTTTTGTTTGGTTTTGGGTTGGCTGCTGCCTGTATTGGCTTCAGGGTGCTGTTGTTGCTGTTGTGGCCTGCGGTCTAACATGAGTATTATTGTATAGTTGAATTCTCCGTGCGTTTTGAACTTTTCTCATGTTGATTGTGGCCTTGATCTAGTGTAATTTATAATTTAGTTCTATTATATTTCTATTACTTTATTCTATTTTACGTGTAGGTGCATGGGGAGCTAAATGGAGCTGAAGCATAGTAACTAGCTAGTCATTTAACAAATGGTGCATATATGTTGGCGACTCTTATTCAAGCTCAACTTTGTGAAGATTTGGAAATTCCGGCTTATATATATGTTGAAAATTTGTATTTTGGAGGATTAAATTAATTATATAACTTTTATTTATTATTAGTAGGGTGTCATACAAAAAACAAGCAACTAATATTTTATAATGTACGTATTTAGCATTATAATTATTTTATATAAATTTAATGATATTTTGTTTCTTAGTATTTTTAGATTTGTACCGACTATTTATACATATATTATATTACCGTACAATTCAAAAAAAAAAAAAAAAAAAAAAAAAAGATCAAATGATCAATCCGTTGCAGTAGATACGTACTCCATACATCATTTGTATTAATTAGCTTCAGCCGTTGCAATAGGTGTTAATTTCATCACAATTAGTAGTAAGTAATCTATTGCAACGGATAATTTATACCGTGGCATTAGGTGTAGAGCTATCGCAACGGATTATAGCTGCCGTGGTATTAGGTGTTGTATACCGTTGCAATAGACCTACTGCAACGCCAGCAAATGCAACGGTACATGGCCGTTGCATTAGTCCTAATGCCACGGAATTTGACGCCTAATGCAACGGATTTGGGGGTTGCAATAGGTCAAAAATGTAGTAGTGAAATAACTCTCAGAACTCCAAATAATTAACTTTAAAAAAAAATAACTTCCTTTCCAAAAAAAAAAAAAAAAAAAAAAAATCTACCTTAAATTATCCCTTGCATTTAGCACTCAAAATTCAAACCGAAACCGTTTAACTTTCCGAAACCAACCAACCCAAATGAGAATCGAACTAATTAAAAACCAATTTTTTTTAACCGAAATTCGACACGAATCGTATTTTATTAAACCCGAAACCGAACCGATCCGAATAATGTTAAATCGTATAAGAACCAAACCCGTTAACGAACCGAACTAGTTCTAAACTGTCGTTAATGAACCGAACCAGTTCTAAACCAAACTGAAATAAAACCGAACCATTTCTAACCCGAAACCGTTTGAACCGGGTTTAAAACCTTTTACACCGAACCGTTAACAAACTGCAACCCGTTCGCACCAAATTGTTCGCTACCCGAACCGTTTACGAGCCGAAACAAATTAAAATCGACCAAAAATAAACCGAAATCGAACCGAACCAATTATAATTTTAACCAAACCCAACCCAACCCGTCGGCCATTTAAACCGATTTCAAACCGACCCGTTTCAAACCGAACTGTCAAACCGTTTTGACAGTGCTACATGTATTAGTATAGGTACATTCTAGTATTATAAAGATTATTAGTTTTGATATTGCCAAGGCAAAAAAAAGCCATTTCCAAGGCCTATTAATAAGTTTGACATTTATAGATTCTCACATATTACGGGCAGTGGGTGGATAATTTCGCCTTGGAAGTGACTTTTTTTTGCCTTAACAATATCAGCTCCCTTAATTATTCATCATTATAGAGTCGTTATCGTCAATATAATCCTCTTACAATTGATCTTATACATGATTCACATAATTTTTTTATCTAGCCTATGGTGAAAGTGCACCAAATTCAATTGATCTTAATGCACCTCCTATGTTGACTAGATTGATTGTTCTGTTATTATCTCTTTTCGTTATGTAGTATAAGTTTTAAACTTTTAATACAAAGCTTTTTATTTTATTATATTTTATTTTTTTATTTTAACTTTAACATTGAGAAACTACTACTTTGTTTATCTTTTGGTGTTGATTATAAGCAGGGGTTATGAATCATATGATGTAGAATTCTTTGGGGGTATGATATATTTCTCTGGAGAATGACGACTAACTAGTTATTTTTCCGTCTCAAGAGTTCGAAAGATTTTAATTGGAATATATAATTAGCTACCAAAATTATAGGTAACAAAATATTACAAAACATTATTGGCAAAAAAAATTAATAAAAGATTACAAACTATTTTATTGAATTAATAAGTTTGAAATTTATAGATTTTCATATATTACTGGCAATGGATAGATAATTTGGTCTTGAAAATGGCCTTTTTTTTTTTTTTGCCTTGGCAATATTGAAACCCATAATTAATGACAGATTTTGATAAAAATAACCAATTGGTGGAATTTGGAAAGATAATTATCGAAAGATTATGGACAACAAAAGATCTTTTAAAGAATACAAAATATCTCATTGAATTAATAAGTTTGACATTTATAGATTCTCACATATTACGGGCAGTGGGTGGATAATTTTTCCTTGAAAGTGACTTTTTTTTACCTTGGCAATATCAGCTCCCTTTTTTTTCATCAAAAATTTCAATTCTAGCTAGCTCACATTAAACGAGTCTTTCAAATTTTCAAAGGAGGATAATCTCAAGGATTTTTTTTCTCTATTCAACCAATCCAATTAGATAGTCATAGTTAAATTTAGACATTGATGGTATGGATAGTATGCAATAATTTTATTTTACTATAATTACGAGTAGAGAGGGTAGAAATTTTTTTATACGCACCCGCATGGGAGATGCATGGTATGTACCCAAGGATGAAATAGTTAATTTGAGTAATTACGTTGTGTATTCGGGTGTATTACGAGTATATAAATATCTTTGAGAGGGGAACATGGTATGTAGTGTATTTTATTTGATTTGATTTTTTTTTTTTTTTTTGCTTTTATTATGTTTTATTGCAGTAGTGTAAATAGAATGTATGGTAAGGAATCTTATGAACAGACGGAGAATTAATTCTTTGATCCAACTGATCGAATGATATCATGTTATACACTTTCTGAATTAAATTCCCGTATCTTTCTCTATCATAATTACAATAAAACAAATAAGGAATTTATAATAAATTAAAAACATTTTCTAAAAAATCTCATTCCATAAAACCCTTTCAAAACATTAGCAAAAACCATAAAACCATAAAACCCTTTCAAAGAGAAAACACAATTTACAAAACATCTATATTCAAATTCTTGTTAAAATTCTTCCCAATGGCTTCATAAGTCAATTTCCTTGTTGCAATTCTCTTTTTCGTATGTCTAATTCATGGAGGTAAGCGTTACAATTATTTTTTTCTTGCAAAATTTATATTATATGATGATTATGATCATTAATTTATTATATACTGCATCTGTTTTTTTATTTGTAACATAGGAATTTTTTATATCTCACAAATAGTACCTCTTGGTTATAACACGAAATTTTTTCGTACAGGAAGTAGTTGCACAAATGCATACTTGAAATTTGATCAAGCGCCAATCGGAGTTAAAGTAGGAGGGAAGCCTGTGTTTAAATTCAACCTTCATAATACTTGTGAATGTATGTTTGTGGATATAATATTAGCTTGTGAGGATTTCAAACTCAAGAACAAATCGACCCGTCGATTTTGAAACAAGATGGTGGAGATTGTACCATAAATGGTGGGAATCCTATCACTCCATATTCTACCCTAAGTTTCAATTATGCTTGGGACAAATCTTATGACTTCACCTTGAAGAGTGCTCAAATTACTTGTTCAAGAACAAGTTTATATCTTAGTGATCTAATAATGTTCGACCACTAATCACGTGTACATACACATGAAAATGTAAAACGTAAATTTGCAATTTGAATAAATTATATCATTACTTTTATCTCGATCTCCTAGACTCTTTTAGTTTGATTGATTTAAGGTTTCTCTTCCATCTTACACTACATGCAATTTTTCATAAAATGATATTATTACATCACTAACCTAACATATATCAAGATTATGACCATATACAATCACTGGTACTAAGGCTTATTGTATTTTAATTAATTTAACAAGCAAGGGTAATTAAAGAAATATATATGCTATGACGTATATATTAACATAGCAGGAAATAAGAATGATTATGGCCTAGTTCGAAAGCAATGAAAAATACTCACTTATACACAAATTTAATGAAATTATGAATAATAAATTTAACGGTTTTTTCACCATGTACCCCTGAGTATTTTGTTTATTCACTATATACCCCTGAAAATTTCCAAATTCACCATATGTCTCTAAGTTGTTACAAAAATTAACCATATACCCCTAATGACAACAAGATGAGTGGAATTTGGTTAATTATACATCGAAACCACCTTAGATATCTCCCCCCATCCCCGAAACCACTCCTCTTCTTTTTTCCAACCCCCAAAACCACTCCAAATCTCCATAACCAAATACGTATGATTGATTTTGAGGATGAGAAAAGGAAATTTGGGTTGCATCTGGGGGTGGAAAAAAGGAATGTAGGTGGTTTCGGGGGTAGGGGAACGTATTAGGGTGGTTTTGGGTCATAATTAACCCTAATGGCTGACGAAGTTAGCAATCAATAGTCATCAAGGGTATATGGTGTATTTTTGTGAAAACTCGGGGGTATATGATGAATTTAAAAAAGTTAAGGGGTATTGTAGACAAATGATTGTGTCTCCCCAAACACCAAACCCAGTGATGAGTGTTTTTCGCGTTTTGATTGACGAGTTTGGCAAAGAGTTGAAAAGTCCCGCAAAGTATCCTTAAGCCTTGACCATTTTTATAACCTTACCCAAAATGTTTTTAATCCAAAAACATTCATTTCGTGTCTTCAAATCCAAAAACATTCATTTCGTGTCCTTAAAACATTCATTTCGTGACTATAACCCTAAAAACGTGCAAACTAATTATTTTAGTCCATTTTCTCAATCCAACTGTTATTTGGTTGAATGAGGATTGTAAAGAGCTTTCCAACGATATATTACAAGCCTAAATGCGACTCAAAACGAGTGAGATATGGCCAAAATACTAAACCGAGCCCAAACTGAGCCTAGGCCCACCTTTAGTACAACCCAATGATTATATGGAGCCCAAATATTTTATTTAGGCCCCAAATGATCATATTCCTATCCCAAGTCAGCTAGAATCTTCTAAAAGGTTCTAATTTTTCCTTCCCGAAAAGATAAAGATCAAGAGTTTGAGATTAAATAAATCTCTTATGATAATCCTTAGTTCGAATATATTTTGCAGAGAAAACCCATCAGAAATTAAACTCCATACGAACTTTGCTATCTTGTGAACCATCACACAGGGACAGGTTCATCGCGCCGGGATAACCCTGTCGCGACGTAACAAGGGCCATCGCGACATGACAAGCTTGTCGCGACACAACAGGAAGTTTTATCACAGCCAGAATTTCTGATCTTTTTCCGATCATTCGACTCTCTTTTTACCCTATAAATAGAGATTGTTTTCCTCGATTCCAAATCATCAACACACAACATAGAATCATCACGAATACACAACAAGAACTCGAGAGAGAATTCAATAAACTCGAAATTCCCAAAACCCATGTTCTTAGCCTAAACACATCCTAGATACATCCCAATCATTCACCATACTTCCTTTGCGTGATTCGAATACTCCAAACCATACTCGACATTGTCTTTGACCTCAACGTGAAAGGTTGATATTTCCAAGGGTTTGGACCTAAATCCATGTTTTTATTCTTAATTAATTATTTATTTTATTGATTTTACTTTCTTGAAGTTTAATAACCTGTGTATTGGTTTATAGCCGTCTATTTTGACGTGTCGTTTGGGTAACCGTACATCTTCTCCGTCTTTATTGACGAAACGGTTTATTAACCGTTTGAGTTTCTAGCACTACAAGAAAACAGGCCATTTTCGACGGTAAAATTCTGTCGGAAACACAATGTTTTCCGTTGGAAAACCCATTTACGACGGAAT